CCCTCACGTCCAGTACGACCAAATTTCAAGGTCAAATGAGCTCCAAAGCGCGCATACCTTTTGTGTGCTAGCAAACCATTTTTTGGGTGATTCAGATTCCGACGTTAAAAATGCCAAAAGTTTTTGTGGACGTCCGTCAAGACCTTGGCTATGCATCCGGTTGGCCTTCACGGCCAGTCCAACCCATTTTCAAGGTAAAACGAGCTTTGAAACGCTCATACCCCCTATTTTGATGATTTTCGTGTGCTATAGCTAACCATTTTTTGGATGATTCGGATTCCGATGTCAAAATTGCCAAAAAATTTTGTAGATGTCCATCATAACCATGGCTATGCAGGCGGTTCACCCTCACGTCCAGTCCGACCAATTTTCAAGATCAAACGAGACCCGAAGCGCGCATATCCCCCATTTAAACGATTTTCGTGTGCTCTGACAAATCATTTTTTGGGTGATCCAGATTCCAACGTCAAAAATGTCAAAAAAATTTATGGACGTCCGTCAAGACTTTGGATATGCATCCATTTGGCCCTCGAAGCCAGTCCGGCCATTTTCAAGGTCAAACACGATCCAAAGCGCGCATAACCCCTATTTTGACGATTTTCGTGTGCTATAGCAAACCATTTTTTGGTGATACGGCTTTAGACGTCGAAAATGCCAAAAAAATTGCAGAGGTCCGTCAATACCTTAGCTATGCATCCGTTTGGCCGTCACGGACAATTCGACCCATTTTCAAGGTCAAACGAGCACTGAAGTGTGCATAACCCCATTTAGACAATTTTCGTGTGCTATAACAAACCATTTTTTGGGAGATCCGGATTCCAACATCAAAAATTCCAAAGTTTTTTGTGGACGTCCGTATAGACCTTGGCTATGCAACTGGTTGGCCCTCACGGCCAGTCCGACCCAATTTCAATGTCAAACAAGCTTCGAAGCGCGCATACCCCCCATTTAGATGATTTTTGTGTGCTGTAGCACCCAAAAATCGTCGAAATAGGGGGTATGAGCGCTTCGAGACTCTTTAGACCATGAAAATGGGTCGTACTGGCCGTGAGGGCCAACCGGATGCATAGACAAGGTCTTGACGGATGTCCACAAAAAAATTTCGTCATTTTTCACGCCGGAATTCGGATCACCAAAAAAATGGTGTGCTATCGCACATAAAATTGTCAAAATGGGGGGTATGGGCGTTTCAAGACTTGCTTGACCTTGAAAATGGGTCGGACTGGCTGTGACGGCCAACCGTCTGCATAGCCAAGGTCTCGATGGACGTCCACAAAAAATTTCAGCATTTTTGACATCGGAAACCTGATCATAAAAAATAGGTGTGCTACAGCACACGAAAATCATCAAAAATGAGGGGTATGTGCACTTCGGGGATCGTTTGACTTTGAAAATGGATCGGATTGTCCTTGAGGGCGAACCGGATGCATAGCGAAGGTCTAGTCAGACGTCCAAAAAAATTCAGCATTTTTAACGTCAGAATTCGGATCACCAAAAAAATGATTTGTCATAGTACACGAAAATTATCAAAATAGGAGGTATGTATTATGCCTATAATTAATCGTGGAGTTTGAATAAACTATTGAGGTCAGGTACTAGAGTTAGTCCCTTTGATCATAGACTTGTAATTTAAAGTTGCTCTTTGAAATTAGTGAAGTTTGGTTTAATCCTTCGAGGTGTAGGACATGGTTTTCATTCCTTGAGCAAGGCAGTTTTCTCGATAAATCTCTATTCTGTTTTGTTACTATTTGTTTCTAGAAATCCAACAAGGACCTGGTTATTGCTTAGGTGGTTTAGGTTTATACACATTGTTCATCCTCTAGGCATTATTTAGCCTGAAGTAGACACCTTGATAGTATACAGAATTAGTGAACTTTGATTGTATTAGACTGGTTCAGTCTGGCTCTTCCACTTTGCTGCAGCTCTCTGTCCTGAAGATCGAACCATCGCCTTTAATTCTTCGTCTTTCTATTGTGTACATCTCTTTAAAGAGAGTCGATTTATAATCTCTTCACTTTGTTTGGGATTGACGTGTACTCATAATTGAGTTCCAAGAAATTTGTCCATGATGCTGGGCGTTTTTTATTCTTCATTTCCTCTTTTTATTTAGATGTGCACAGCTAAACACTTAAAACTTGTATAAAATTGAACAAATAACATATTTGTCCTATGTGGCGCCCTATTTGACAATTTTGTATCCTATCTGGTGTCCTATGTGTATCATGTCACGTAGGACACATGTATCTACTCGTTCAATTTTATACAAGATTAAGTGTCTACTTGTGTACACCCAAAGTTAAAGATCATAATTACCAACGATGGTCATGTTATTATTGACAAGTCACAAGTAAAGACATTAATATTGCACATTTCAAATTAATTGAAAGATCAAATGTGGTTAGACATTACAAGCACTAAATTCAGAAATAATAACAATGTAATTCTACGAGTAGGGTCTAGAGACGATGTTGTACACCGCAACTCTTCTGGTGAAGGAACTTAACAAATTTTGAATTGAACTCTGACGGAATTCGAATAGGACGGTAACTTCTATTGAGCCACACTGCTATTCCTCTTGCCTCCAATATAGGCTGTGAAAATTTTAAGAAAATACAGTAAGATTTGACAAGTATAAAGTGACTCTTTGTAATTTGTATGATAATAGAGGTAACTAACCTCTTGATCTGGAAGCTTGAAGATGAAATGCTCGAAAAACAATCGAGCTACTGTAGAGTGGGATAATCGCGCCCTCACCACGAATCTATCTCCACTCTGAACAAAACAATATTATATCAGGCATTTGAAGTTGGATCTCCAAATTTTTTAAATACTCCAAATTCAACTAAGGTATAACAGAACTTAACAAATACATGAAACATAAACGGGACGAAAGTCGTCATACCCTTAGTGGTGCAAGAAACTTAAATGAGAGCTCTGTTACTGCTAATGCGTCACCATTTCGCGTTACTTCATCAACACTAACACCAATTTTTTCTAGAAACTCATGACAACCTGTTTCATTTATTGAAAAATAAGTCAAATATTGTAATTTGTGTACGATCAATTATCGAAACAGTAAACCTTACAATGTTGACAATAACTTACATACGTAGCATTATTTACAACACCAAACTGATCCAACTCATAGTCCCTGACTGTGAGTTCAACGTCATGGTCATAGACCTGATCACTCATTCTGCAAAATCACATACCAATAGAAAAAAAAATGAAATTACAAGAGATTTTGTTCTTTTTTTTAATATTATGTTACATTGTTTTATTTATTGTTACTTTTTTTTAAAAGGTAACGAAAAATTCTGTGTACCGCCACTAAACAGAGAGAGTAATATATATATATATATATATATACACACACGTACCGTTGGGTACCTTTGAGATCGAACGCATTATAAGCTTCAAAACCCCTCGATTTACAGGACGATAATCGTAAATTTGGGAGCGGGAGTTGCCGGTGAGGGATGACCGGAATTGTAGACGGCGGTGACCGATGATTCAGCGACATTAGGTTGGGTGCAATGCTGAACGAATGAGACATTTGATGAAAAATCTTAGAACTAGAAGAGAAGGAAAATGCAAGTTTGGGAAATTAGTTGTTTCAAGTATATGTAGATTGTAGTAGGAGTGTGCATGGTAAGGTATGATACGGTATTTGAAAGTCTTGATATCGTAATTTCAGTATTAAAATATTATACTATTATCATATCAAATTAATTTGATATTTTGAAATTTGGTTTTGATATTTTATGGTATAGTATAATTTGCTCAATTAATATATACTCGTATAAGATAGTTCTCACCCTCCTTTCGTTAAAAAAAATGATCTTTTTTCCTTTTTAGTATGTTTAAAAAAGAATGACCTTTTCTTTTTTTGGTAACATTTTAATTTGAAAAAATTACTTGGATTATGTATGCAATATATATGCATTATAACTGTTTTTTAAATATATTATATTTATTTGGCAAGAAATTGACATATTGAATTATAAGTTTATTAAAATATGTGATAAATGTATTATTCATTAATAAAAATTATATTATATTTGAAAACAAATTGTTCTTTGTAATATGTATTGTAGATGTATTAAAAGTGATCAATTGAAAAAAATGTTATTGCTATAAATAGTAAATATTTTCTTAATATAGTATAGTTATGTAAGTTTCTCTTTTAATTTCAGTTTTTCACGTGACATATTTAAGACCACAGGATTAAAGAACAATTTTGTACATTTGACATAAGTTTAATCTAGGACCACAAGATTCAAAATCTTCTTAATTTTTTTAAATTTTGTGTCAAGTCAAACTATTGAATTCTTTGTGAAACTGAGGCACTATTATGATTTCGACAATTTTAAAAAGATCTCAATTATATCATACTAACACATTACACATGTAGAAATATATATTCAAAATATACTACAAACAACTCCTTTTTGTTAATCAATTACATTTCAATCGAAACAGATTAATCAAAGTTCTTTTAAACATTTAGTTTATACTAATACTAATATTTTAATTTTTTTTAATATATATGTAACTATATACTTTGGTATGTTAATTTTAAATACCAAAATATATGTCATATACCATACCAAGTACAATAATATTAAAACTATGATATTAAAGATTCCGATAATATGATAATTCAGTATATATTATATACCATATAATGCCACACCTCTAGCTAGTAGGCTTTGTTGCTCAAAAGTCTTTATTTTGGTAAATAATAATGCTTCCTACTCACTAGTGCAAAATAAAATTTATTGGCCTAAAATGGTGATAATATAACTAGCAAAATTTTATGGGGATTATGATGGTAAGTGAATTGATTAAGATTTTGGGTCATGAAATCAAATTGATTTAATGATAAGATTTTGAATTATTAAAATTAAAAAACTTATTAATTGTAAATATTAAGGCATAAGATGGACGAATAAATAAATGAGATAATATTTAATTTTATCTAAAGTTTATTTTAATTAAAATGAACAAAATAATGGATTGTAACTCAATTTGCTTAACTTGACTCAAATTTTACAATAATCTCAAGTTTTTAGCAAATAAAAAACCCAATTAGTAGTGTTTTCTAAAAATATATCTATTTTCCCCTATTTTCTATATTCAGGAAAAGATAATTTTGAAGGGAGTCAATTCTTTTTTAATGTTTTTTTTTCCTTTTCCAACTCCCACCAATTAACAATTGCCACAGAAAATATGAAATAAAATTACCCACAAAAGTAAGAAAAAATTAATTGTTTAGAGGATTTTTGCTTTTGACTTTTAAGTTAGAAGTCGTAAGTTAGAAATGATATTATTTTTATTTATTTATTTTTATCAATTAGGATTAAATTAAGTGTTTATAAATACTTTATACCTTTATTAAAATATTTAACAGTGCAAAAAATATTTTAATTTTAAAACGCTTAAAAAAAATCAATTCAAATAGATATATTCAATTATTTTATATTCTTTGGATAATTTTCTTAAATTTATTAATTAATATATTTCTATAATTGAGTTTAATGATTGTACGATGATATAGTTGTAACCAAAAGTTAATCATGAATTTGCCGACTCTATTCATGCAGGCTTTTAAATTATAGTAATAATTTATCATTTGACTTTTGTGCAGTGTAGACTAATGATTTTTGTGTCACTTTTTTTAGGTATATAATATATATATACATTATTTAGTTTGACTTTAGCTAATATATACGATCTTCTATTTTGATTGAATATAAGTAGTCATTTAAACTGATATAAAATTGAATAAGTAAATATATGTGTTCTACGTAACATAATACTCAATATTGTTCTACGTATGATGAATGTATCTATTTGTTCAAATTTTTACAAGTTTAAATGTTTTACTTATACACAACTAAAATTAAAAGTAATAATTGTCGATTGAAGTCAAATTAAAAATCATGTTCCCATATTTTATTACTTTTCTAATTTGAGCTACTCAAGTTAAATGGGTTAAGATGGTTAGGTCCAAATCTTACCCATCTTATTTGTGTGTCATTTGAGTTTGGGCTGAATTTTTCATCCCTAAAAACAAAGATAAAATTTCATCCTTTTCCTTTACTATAAAACACAACAAAAAATTTATATGCAATAAATTTGAAGTGAAAAAAGAATAAGAATAAAATATAAATATGCTTTTAAATTTAGATTCAGCTAATATGTATGTCCTTTAATATTAGATATGCATAAGTAGACACTTAAATAATTTGAAGTATCATATAATGGGACTACATCTCTTTTTAAGTGTGCTTAGAAATTTTAAAATCTTACATCTATCTTGTTCTTGTCTTCCTTTGTAAAATTGCGAAATGCCTTTCTAAATAGATATTTGTAGAACTTTTTGTGTTTTAATTATAAAAAAATCTTTGATGTTTCAATTTTTTCAAGTTTATCACATTAAAACTTCCCATATCACTACAACTTCTTTAAACAATTACGAGATAAGGCACAAGTACCTCCTAAACTATAACCGAAATATCATAGACGTGTTATAATTAAAATAATGTCATATTTACCCCCGAACTTATTTTTTGTAATTTGTACATTTTTGGCTTACGTGTCATATTCCGTAACTCCACGTAGCTGAGGTGCGTGGGAGATATTTGAATGTCGCGTAAGCTAAAAAGATGTACAAAATTATAAAAAAAATAAATTCAGGATAAAAGGACCTTAGTTTAATTAAGATGCGTCTTTGAAATTTATATCATAGTCTAAGTGATATTTTTGTCTTATCCCTATATTAAAACTAGTAATAGTGAATGTTATATCATAGTCAATGAATTCAAACAATCTCAATGTCTTCGATACAAAATATACTTTTATTTATATATATATGCATATTTCTTCCTTTTCGTAATAATACATTCATCCTCTCAAAATCTTAAATATCTCGAGCATGTGAAGTACCTCTATCATGAAAATACTTGACCAAGGTGCACTTTCAATGATCAACAAAATACTGGTCCACCATATATAGCACCTAACAAAATTCAAGAGCCACCACTCAATTGAAAAGTCAAAAGCACAATATTTACAGATTTTAGTATCAAATTAAATTTTATTGATTACCATTGTGTTGGACGATTTAATACACTTTCATTAGAACACCAGAGCATGATCACTATATTAAAAATAATTTTTAACGTTAATTCATCAAGAATAATCAATATTTTTTATAAATATTCTTAAAATATATAAAAAAAAAAATATTAAATTCAATGGTGTCAATTAATTATATATTTATTTCTGTTAGCATCAAAAATTAGTTCATTGTATAAATAACAAAAATACATAAAAATCAGAAGATAAAGTGACTGACCTGGTCCCATTTGGAATTGAAGAATTTGGCATTTGTAACATTCAATCACAGCCATAACGGCTTAGTCAGCTACAAGCTAGGGCATCCAATGGATAATAAACAAATTACATCACTAGGAAAAAGAATAGACAAGACAGAGAAATTTCATGTCATCCTTTTTTTCGATAGTTATCGTGTATATTTGTTTTAACGTTCGATTACTTTAAATTCATGTCTTTAAAGCAGCGGGAGACTCACGCTTGAAGAAGTGAATGCACATGCATTCGTTAACTTATGTGTATAAACATGTATATGATCTTGGATTCGCATCTGTCCCTATCATAAATGATTTTATTCTAGAGCAGAAGCGTCATTTTTTTTGAAAATTAAAAAGAGTGTGTCACGTGAACTAAAACACTATAGTACGAAATCGACCTTTTTCTAGTTGAAGGAGATGCTTTTACTATTTTGTTTTGAAGGACAACAAGTGGTCTATGTTCTATGTATTGATAGAGATTGCCAGCATGAAACTAGCTCTCTAAGCTTCCAAAAGCCATATGCACCCTCCAACAAATATTTCATAGGGATTGTAGTCTTTGGGTCAGCTTTCGAGTACCTCAATTAATTTTTACTAGAAACATATCACCTTCCACGAGCAACAAGTAGTAAATAGTTTTATCCATCAACATTAGGATAGATGGAAAAAATCACCTAGTGTTATTCGTATCCCGTAGAAATTGAACCTAAAAGACGTCATAATTTTTCAAACCATTTTATTGACCACTAGACATTTGTCACTTTATTTATTCATGAAAAAAAATTATAACCATGTGAATATTTCTATCAGCATCAGTCTATCTACCTTTATAAAGGTTGGAGTAAGGTTCTATGCACACCAACTTCATCAGACTTCACTTGTAAAATTTTACTAGATATGTTGTTATAAATATTATGACATGTTTAATATCACGAGTTTTATAATCACAAAACTATTCTTAGCATATTTAAAACCACAAATCTTTCCAATATTTTGAACTTTAGTTTTGAATTAAACTAGGTGATACAAATAGAGTGACATCTTTCAACCACCTTTAGTTATTGCTATCCTATTCAAAATCAGAACCTACAAATTGTCAAAAATGGTGTTCTGGATTTTAGCACACTACACTAGTACCCTAAAGCTTAGACCTCATGGAAGTTCATTGCATAAAGAGCACAAGTATATTAAATCAGAATATTAGGCTTGTGTAGCTTTCCAATTTCAACTATACTTTCTTTTGTACCCAAACACTAAATTCACTTATACGTCAATAATATATTCAATATAATATCAAAAATGGGTTCTGAGACCTTATATCTACCTATAGGGTAAAGGTTGTTTCCGATAGACATTCAGCTCAAGAAAATCATTTCCCACAACATACTCAGTATAACCTCATAGAGAAGTTTGGAATCTTATCTCTACCTTTATAAGGTAGAGAGGTGGTTTCCGATAGTAATTCAACAACTTTATCGGTACCTTCATAGGGTAAAGGTTGTTTCTGATAACATTCAGCTCAAGAAAATCATTGTCCATAATAACATGATTTGAAGAAAAAAAAATGTTAACATCCACTAAATTACAACAATATATCCAATACTGTGCCAAGAAAGCAACAAACAGATAAATTTACTGTGGGAATCAATAAGGAGAAGTATAGACAAAACCAAACAGTTGTCTTAAAAAGCTCTTTGAGATATTTTCATACCATACTCATCATAGATAACATAGTTCAAAAAAAGATGCATGATTGGAACTAAAATGACACTCGATCGTTTTCTAGCCCTTTCATAGGCAACAAACACTCGAAGACTAAGCACAATGAGATTGAAGCCCTTTAGACGGCTCATAAGAGCACGGGAAAACCCAAAGGGACTCACAATTTCTTTGAAAACGACAAAAACATCCCCTTGACTCGATAACTTCTTAGAACTAACAAACAAGTAGAACTCGATTAAGGAAAATCACGGTCTCAAGCATCTAATTAACTGATTCTTGAGACAGACGACTCTTTTGACACTTTTGTACTAATACTATCAAAACATAAACTCGTCACCTAGCTGCAAAATTATGGGCATGCTATATTGAGGGGTGTTCCATTTGTCCGTGGAGCATCATCCATCCAAGAAAAGGATTCATTGTAGCCATCGAAATTGAAGTCATCAAAATCAGGCAAACCAGTAGGCAACTGCTCATCACCCTCGATCAGATAAACCGGAGGGTCCTCAAAATCATTGACAACAAACTCATCCAAATGCTGATTGAAATCATCAGCGCCAATGAGGAACGACTCAAGCTCCAAATCAAGATCCATACTTTCACCAATTTGAGACAGAGGTAGAGTTTCCTCCATCATAGCCAACTCAGGCACTTCTTGCTCGACAACATTAGCCTCCAAAGGCGCAACATTGCTCACCTTTTCATTATCGTTTGGGCCATTAAGTCTTAAAATTGGAGCAGATGCGGATACAGAAGTTAAAGTGTCCAATTCAAGAACTGATGATGACGACAAGGAGTGTGAAGTACGTGATACCGAGCTTTCTGCATAGTCATCTGAGACACCACTAGCAACATTTTGGCTCTGATTTTGGTACTCGGAGACCATTGAACCAGAACTCTGCTTAGACACATTTGTCCTACTGATCTTCGCCCTAGTTTCAAATTCAAGACGTTTCAATTCGTAAGCTCGAGAAGCCTCCACAGCGGTATTATAGGTACCCAACCAAACACGTCTGCCTTTAAATGGATCACGAATTTCAGCAGCCCATTTCCCCCATTTTCGTTGACGAACACCTTTGTATTTCGATAATAAACCCCCTGCTGGCCTTGGTTGAATCAGGGGTTTAACTAAACCCTCTTTCTTTGTTTTTTTCTCTCCATTGTTACTATCTTGAAATGAACATTCAATCTCAGAGGCTTTTCTAAGATTAAAAGAGTTGCCAATTTGCAACTTAATCTCTCTAACGAAACGCTTACACCTCGAATCATCGTCCGAGGAATCATCAGTAGCATCAGGATCATTACAAACAATCCTAATTTTCCTCACTAATCTGTTTGTATCAACTTTTTTCTTCATGTTTCTACCAAGATTCTCAAATTTTGATGACAAAGGCTTAAGCATAACCTCAATATTAGCAAAAATTTCCTCTTTAAAAAATAATATTCAAAATTTCTAACAAATAAAAGGAGAAAATGTAAAGATTACACTTTAAAATCAAGTGGCGTTCTCAACAGCAAAATAAGATGTAAAAATTGCTTTATATGAAATCCCTCAAAAAATACAGCTCCAGAACAATTCCTGCAAAAAAAAATAAAAAAAATCAAAACCCCACAATAGATCAGCTTCCAAAAGCACCAAAAAAAAACCACAAACTCCACATCGTCACTCGACTAATAATTATTATCTCAAAAATTCACTTTTACTGCAACGATAATGAACTATTAGTTGAGTGATCATACGAAAAATAAAACAGACATATTAGAAAGGGTTTAAGATGAGTAAAATTGTACCTTTTGGGCCTCAAACCCATCGATAAAATTGGGGAAAATTGCACAGAGACAACAAAGAGAAGTGAAGAAAGTGAAAAACAGAGGTTTAATGGTGCTCTAAATTCAATCACAGCTAGAAGATTAAACCTTGCCGACATAAATTTCTCAAAAACCCACTATTTCTTCTTTGTTAATTTGGTGTTCTTGGTCCAAAAAAGTGAGCAAAAAGGGAGTAATGTGGATGAGATATTCCTATTTATAGAAAGAAAAAGGATTATGAATCAATGGTCAAAATTATTTATTTATTTTTTCAGAATCAGACAAAAGATTTTGCTAAGTTTTTTTAATAATCAGATTTTTGTAGAAATGAAGCACAATAAAGAAATGGTGTCCCCTCCTAGTGGCAATGGAGTGTCACTGTTAGGTGGCTGCTTCTGATTTTGTTTCATTCAACATTTAGCACACATAATTCTCAATAGTGACAAAGCGGTCGAACGATAATATCAAATAGTTTTATGATTAGATTATGATATTATTTAATAGTCTTAATTTATATTTATGTCATCTAATTTTGAATATGCACGAGTAAACACTTAAACTTGTATAAAGTTTAATAAATAAAAACACGCATCTTAAGTGAAATTTCACGTGGCAATTTAAGGTCTACATGGTGTCCTACATGTATCATGTCACGTAAGATTCATGTATTTACTTATTTTCTCTTTCTCCTCTCTACTCCCTTCGGTTGTTCCTCGCTTGATCACCTCTGTCCTCCATTAATCTCCACATTTCTATTCGATTTGCTTGAAAATTGAAGAGATTACTCGCACAAATTTAGCGAGAGATTTGTATCAGGTTAGAAATGGAGACCTCTCTTTTTTCTTTTCTGGTCTTCTATTTCATATTTAGACTCTCAATATTTCTAAATGAGGGAAAGATACAATATTGTGTCAATCATATTTTGAAAGAGTATATAACACATGATATAAATGTATAAAAAAAATGATACAAACACTTGATATTATTATATTTATTGATATACTTGATACAAAGTGAATACATAAGAAACATATAACCTTGACATTATTGTCATTGTTAATACAAGTTGATATAATTTCGTTCAGTACATCTGATACAGAGTGAATACACAAGAAACAAATACATTCGATACATTTATGTTCGTGATACAATTTAATACAACTTTGATATAATCATATTTATTGATATACAACCTCTCTCTCCCAAACTTTGTTCGCCTCTCTCCTCTTCTAACATGTATTTGAATTAGCTCCCTACACTAAATTAAAAGTATTTTCTTAAAATTGTTGTTGTATTAATCATCTTTTGAGGGGAAAAGAAAACCTTAGACATGTACAATTATTGGGCATGGTCAGTACAAAGCCTTCCCTTTCATAATGTGGGCTTCACTATTAAATAATTTGATTTGTACCAATGGCTGCCAAGTGCCAATAACGTGACATACAATATATCTTCAATAAATACATAAAAAGATTCAATGCTTGAAATTATTAATTGAGTGGCCTACTTTTGCTCCCTAGAAGAGTATACATTAAAAGGACCAGGTTAAGTGTAACAAAAAGCAGTGAAAGAGGGACCTAAATTTATTTACATGTGATGAAGAATGAGCATACTGAAACTTTTTTTTGGGAAATTTGGTTGATTGACCTTTTCAGTGTAGTCGGTATAGTTAAATGATTTTTGTGTTATAATTTATAAATAAATAAATCATGATTAGATAATATCGATTAATAATGAAGTTCTTTTATGTGTTATAAATAAAAAAAAAAGTATGATTTTATTAGCTAATGTCGATTAATAATGAAGTCTTTGCGCGGATTGCTCTTATTTTGGGATGGTCGTTGATTTTTATTTCTACTACTTATTTAAGGGGAATTTGTGAGTCAAAACATTTTTATTTACGATCTAATTTCACAAGGCATAAGTTTAGAGAGTTGCTATTATCTCATCGGACAATAGTTAAATAAGAATTAAGTACTCTGGCATAAGTTGTGTAGTATTTAATTCAATCAACATAAATTTAGAAAATATTATTACAAGTTTTAGAAATATGAATAAGTTATGCCTTTAAAAAAAACAGAAGAAGCAAAAAGTGTACTAAAATGGAAATTAATCCCTAATCCTCTAGGTTAAGAACTCAACTTTCAACCAAGTATACTTACCAATGTTACAAAAAAATATTACCAATGTTATAAAAAGAATGTACATAAAATACTAGTTTCACGGAGAGACCATCGGTTCACATGTCACATAGGTTAGATATTCATTACTAGTCTCGTACAACATAACTTTATAGGTTCTATAAACTGGACTTATATATGTCTTTATCGATATAACTTAAACTAAGTTATCCCTTGTACGATACAATCTGTAGGTTTTGAGACTGGTTGAAATATTGAATGACCTTTTTGATGAGTAATAGACTCTAAAAGTAATATATTAAAATACCTTAATCGATCCTCTCATATGATAAACAAGGTAGAATTCTTAAAGAGTCTGAGCCGCATAGCTTATCTGTATGCTCGTTTTTCATTAATAACCTTGAAAACCTACTAAGTACTAATACTCACACATAGTAGAAACTAGTTTTTGTTCACATTTTCCAGGACATAACAAAATTCTTACCTAAAGGCAATTGCAGTCCATGAATTTCCATCATCATACTCTTTCTCTTATCAACTTCATCATCCATACTGTCTATGTACTTGTGTTCTGTTGTGCTATACTTCACTCTTGAACCATCTTCGATCGGTTGTCCATCGACGTTTATTTCAAAAGCTCCATCAGTACCATTGGTGCCTAAAACTATAACCTTCTCAATGAACCATCCTTTATCCAATGCAAACTTGCTTTCTTGAACTTCTGACCACAACTTCATTGTTCCGTTACTTGCTGTTGCATGGAAATCGATATACGTTGATTGCCCATTTCCAAGTTTCATCTCAGGAAGCTCATCATCGTCGAGGAAAAGATTTCCTTTAGCTTCTATGTCATTTGTCCCCGATGGTAAGGTGACTACGAGGGTAAAAGGTGTCGTTCTTGCTTCTTTTGATATCATCCCACCGCGCTGCATTGGTATGATGGTGTTTTCGTAGACATGTACATTGACCACACTTAGAGGCGCGTCTAATGTGAGGTAATGTAGGTCTTTTGTGACTATTGCTTGTGTCATATCGAATAAATTGTACCACGTACCAGGGGGAAACAGAACTTTCACCTCTGTTTTCCCCTGATCTAACACTGGTGAGACCATGACACTGGTTCCTACCAAGAATTGAGTGCTCACGTCGTGAAGTTCTGTTAGAGTTGGAAAAGAGAAGAAGAGGGGACGAGCAATTGGCGCACCAGTAGTATGTGCCTCGTAGTTCAAGGTATAGAAATATGGTAATAACTTGTACCTCATACCTAAAGCATTTCGCGCAGATTCAGCCACACTCTCCCATTGGTAAAGCTCTTGCCTAGGCGAATAATAGTTGGCGTGATCCCTTGAGAATGGATAGAACGCGCCAACTTCAATCCAACGATTGCAAAGCTCCTCCGTTGGTGCTGGATAGAATCCACATATATCAGCACCAACCATAGGAACACCAAACAATCCAAAATTCAACACTGTAGATATTGAATACCTCAAATCATCCCAAGTTCCTTTGTTATCCCCTGTCCAATGTGCAGCATAATGCCCCGAACCAACAAATGTTGAACGAGACAGTATAAAAGGACGCTTCCCCTCGAGTCCTTGAAGTGCCTTATGAGTTGCAATGGACTGAGAAAACCCGTAGAGGCTATGAGCATCATATTCCTTAACTCCATTATAATGAACAGCGCTAGTCGCTATGGTTTTATAGCCAATTGGTGCCTGTATTCCACTAGCATTAATCTTATAAGGCGGATCATCCCATCTAGTATTCGTTATGTTTTTGCAATCCAGGCAACATATCCAACCAGGACCGGTGCCAGTAGGACATATCCTTCCTTGAGGGATTGTACACAAACCCGAACAAAAGTTTGAAACTTCATTCATGTCAATCCATAGTCCATCAATAGGCACAAGTTCGCGAAACCTCCTGATTTCATCACCCCACCACTCAACAGTCTTCGGATTCAGAAAATCGGGGAAATTGACAGCACCCGGCCAAACTTGAGCTAAATAAGGCTTGCCTTCATATTTGATGAAAACATCATTAGCTATACCTCTTTGGTAAACACCATAAGTGTTGTTAACGCCTATTCCAGGATCAACGATGACAATGTACTTCATGCCACGACCATGAATCTTGTCCAAGAATGCTAGCAAATTCGGACGAGGATAGTTAACTGGATTGAGAGTGAAATCTTTTTTACCATCCATATGATCATCATCGTTCCAGATAACATCAAGAGGGATTTTGGCTTTGTTGTAGTTCTCAACAACATCTTCAATTACTGATAAATTGTGGTAACCCCATCTACATTGATGAAATCCTGTAGCAATCACAACAAGGAACTTGTTATAACCGGTTAAATTATACTGATACACAACGAAGAAAAAGATCAAGTGTTATAAGTCCTAACACACAAATAAGAAATAACTTTTCGTATGACAGAGTTTCAAATATTCATATCGTAAATATCTTACGAGTTATGTTTCCACATTAGCTGTAAAATTAAAGAACATTTGCCTAAAAGGCATAACTCTAGTTTTTGAACAGTATAATAAATTTTGAAAAATACTATATAACTTAATTCTTACATAATTTATATCGAGTAAATTACGTCTGAATCGATAAGAATACATTATTCCACAATTTTTTATTAGATGATTAATAAAGGTAAAAAATTTAAAAATAGGATCAATTTTAAGGACAAATAAAAGATCACCCCAAAATAAAGACAAGTCTTACAAAAAAAAATTAATTAATATCTACTACTTAGACCTACTTAAATGTGGGCTCTGTGGAGATGCCTTTATGTAAATTATTAATTATTAAAGCCATTAAAGTGGAAGACATTTTATAGTGCATTATTATGATTTACCAAAGTGGCAAAGAAAAAAAAATGCCTTCAATCTTTCCACTTATGTATTAAAAGAATTAATCAAGATTCTATCGAATACAATTTTTTTTATTTTTTTAATTATGTATATAATTTTTTAGACTTTGTTTGTAATATTGTTTAGATTATCTACGATCTTAGTAACTTATTTCATTAATTATCTAAAAAAAAAAATTTGTTGTTGTGAATTTATCACCTAATTCGATATATTTTTAAAAAAAAAAAAAAGAAAGAAGATGATCCACGTGCTATCAATATTCGTAGCTTATACCTAACAAAATTTATTAAAGAAAATAAATTACACCAATTGACAAAAATTAATTAAGAGTATTTTTGTTTTGTACATAACACGGGTTCTAACTTATTCAAATTTATTCTAACAGAAACAACAGAGACAAAATTTATATAAAAGGCCACTCACGGGTTCTAATCAAGACAAAATATTAAACTTACAAGTATTCTCCCACCTCCTTCATTTTATCGTAAAGACGGATTCAAAATTCAAAATATTATGAATAATAGTTATGTATGTAATAGTCTTGTAAAGGACGGAAAAAGAGCTAAATTGAGATTGAAGGCGTAAATAAAAAAAAAGAGGATGTATGGTCAGATTTTTATATAACAATCATTTTTATAATAACATTTTACTATAAATTAATAACAGTCTAATTTTTAAAAGCCAAACTTTTATATTATGTTATGTATTCTTTATAAGAACATCTTGCTATAGCAATCAAAAAATGTTCAAACAAACGATATTATTATTAGGAAAACTGACTATAATTTGGGAGTTGTATCGATATAACATATAAATATCAAAGATTGTTATAATATACACAAGACAAAATACATAAATATTTTCTTTAATTTTATTTTATCTGTGATATACGTCTTTTAATTTTATATGTAAACAAATAAACTCAGGTCTTCTATATGATATAAAGTAAATTAATGTCATAAGACAACGAGTCTACTTATATACTTAATACTGAAAGATATAAATATCAGCTTAGATAAAATTAAACGTCATGTTGATGTAAAACAAATAAATATATGTGTCTTACATGATATAAAGTAAATTAATGTCATGTAAGACAGTATATTCATGTAAGACAGTATGTCTACCCATATATGCCCAATATTAAAAAACATAAAATATCAGCTAAGATCAAATTAAATGACATACTCACGTATTACGTGTAAATACAAATACATTAAAGTAGATGAGAGAACATCAAACTTACCAAAAGACCAATAAGGCATTGGAGCAGGCCTTCCTATGAATGAAGTATATTGATCAACAACATCAAGTGGTGTGGGCCCAGAAAAGAAGTAAAAGTCCAAAACACCCCCAATCACTTTGTATGTTAAAGAATCTCCATTGTAAAACACATCCATCCCATTGCTATTTAGTAACAAAACAACATGAGCCTTTGCCTCTCCATTCACATTGTTCCTCAAATCCATATACATAGGGTGTGATCCATACAAATCCATATTCAAATTAATAGCTGGTTGATCAGTTGTATACAAAGTGTAAGGGTCATTTGGGTAAATTTTAATACCATGGGGTTGTGTATTTTCACCTAGACCATATAAAGAAGCATTTTTGGGCAATTTTGTTGATATTTCAAGATATTGATCTTTAAAAACCAAATTGTTATATGAGTTTGAATCATCAAAGCTTGAATTGAAAAGGATCTCTCCATTTGATTTTCTTTTCACAGAAAAACTAAAAGGGTCATTTTTGTAATTGAATATTAACTCATTTCCCGAATATTCTGACTCTACTGCTAGTGATGAAAAAATATTCTTTCTTGATTTACCACCGATGTTTTGTTTCAATGATGGGGGTGTTTCTCTTTGTAATAAGTTGTAAGGAACTTCCCATCTTTGCTCTTTTGCGTCAGTTATATGAACCCTCAGTCGATTATCTGTCTCATGCCTAGATAATAACCAAAAAATTAAAACAAGGATTCAAAAAAATAAATAAATAATCAAGAATGATGTTCATGCTTGAATTATAATCACAAAGTGACTCAAAGATTCATTTTTTTTTTCTTTCAAGAATGATGTTCATGTTTGGATAATAATTACTCCACAAAATTAACATAAATATTCATTAAAAAAAATCAAGGATGATTTTCATGTCTAGATAATAATCACAAAATTAACATAAATACTTCTAAAAATTCAAGAATGGTGTTCATGTCTAGATAATAATCACAAGATTAGCATAAAGATTTAATCATTGTTTTGTTTTCAAGAATGATGTTGATGTCTAAATAATCACAAAATTGACATAAAGTCAAATTATTTTCTTCTAAAATGATGTTTATATCTTGATAATAATTAAAAAATGTCATTTTTTTCTTCAAGTCTTGGTAACAATCATAAACTCAACATAAAAATTCAATTATATTTTTCAAGAATGATGTTCATCATGCAAGTCTAAGAAATGATTTAATTATTTATTTATTTGAGTCATGAAAAAAAGGGAAAAACTTACTTAACATAGAGCTTCAAATTTGGAATATCTAGCCCATAAATATTGTTCTTCTCCTTTACTTGGAGGTGACCTATAAGGCCTCCATCTTGTGATTTTTCTATGGAGATCAACTTGTAACCTTGGCCAATCTTGATCTGTGTTGTGGACACAAAATCAACACCAACAATACATAGAATCAAGATTAATAAAGAAGTAAGGGAATAAGGTGATAAGAAGGAAGAGAAAAACATGATTTTGGATGTGAAAGAATCAACTAGCACTAGTGAATCTTTTGAGGTTTTTGGGACTTATATATAAGGCCAATATTCTTTTGCACTCTTTGTGTATGTTAACTTATTATAGAGTAATAGATAAATCTTATTCTTTTAGGTTACTAATTTATCTTTTATGGATGTGCCCATTGTGGTTAACTTGGTAATTTATTGGGGGGAAAAAATAACATTTTAAATAGTCATCCACTTAATTGCTTAAGCTAATAATATATCATAAATGTATAGTATAAAACATTACTAGAAATAAAAGTATTTTCTGATCATCGATCAATTGAGAATTTGTATTATATATAAAATACGATTTTCTCATTCATTTTTGACCGAATCAAATCATGGTGAGAAACTTCTCTTTGATTCAATCAAATTATCTGTTGATGAAAATTATTATGGGATATTTTTTAATTAAAAAAAATTAATGAAAAGATGGTAATTTTTTAATCGTGAATATAAAAAATATGGAGGGTAGCCTAAAATGTTTTACTTGGCAAGTAAAATGGCAATGGTATATATTATATTTCATGAAAATGAAGAATAATCATTCGTTTCTACTTTTTAGTAATTTTTATGTTTTAATTTCAAGATTAATTTCTCTTGAAAGGGAAAACATTAACTTTAAGATAAATTTCTTCCATTTTAGGCTAAACAGTTGTCTTTTTCCATTAGTTGGTATTTGTGGTGTTTATCTAGTTATACTATTATCACATCAACCTATTATTAACAAGTAATTTCAAATTCTGGTGGTTTTTTTTTCTTTTCTTTTTTGTTGGAATAAAATATTTTGTTTATAAGTCGACGAAAACATTTTTATTTCCTTAATTTTGTACATGTTTTAAGAAAGAAAGATCAGAACAATCAATTATGTTATTGATAGAAAAGATTATAAAATTTTAATATTAATAATTTTTCTATTTTATCCTTGTAAATAATTGAAAAAGATCATGGCTTTTATGATTTTTCCAATATTTAAGATGATTAAGGTATAAATTATTAAAAATAACAGGATAAGATGCAAGTCATTAAAAAATGAACACATTAAAATACAAATCACAAATTAACTCTTCCATTTCATATATATATTAACATATTGATTGCTATGAAATTATTCATAACATAGGAATCAAATTTGCACAACGAAAAAAAGAACGTTAAAGCAAACATCATGAGATGTGTAATTTATTGAAAATTAATGCTTGTTGATATTTAGGATTTTATTTCCACCTTAGGAGGTCGATTTTTATTTTATTTTGTTTTGTTTGGAAAAATCCAACTACATATTTGATATTTTTAAAATGTTTTTTTTAAAAAAGGGAAAAATTATGCGGTTAAGCAAATTTATACTATTTAATTACTCAGTATAGATATAATTTGTTATAATTACCACTTGCGACTAACATTATATATTAATTACATGCTTCGATTTTATATAATTAGTCATGTTTGTATATGTATAATTCGCTATAATATACAAATAAATATGTATAATATACAATTTTTTAACCTATATAGATACACAATTCACCTCTCTCCTACTCTCTGCCCTCTTCGCTCGCCTCTCTCCTCCCTCTCTCAATCTCGCTTGCCTCTCTCCTCCCTCTCCAATCTAGCTTGCCTCTCTCACTCGCCTCTCTCCTCCCTGTATCAATCTCGCTCACCTCTCTCCTCTCTCTCCCAGTATCGCTCGCCTCTCTCCTCCCTCTCTAATCTCTCTTGCCATATATACAAATACATATGTATAATATACAATTATCTAACCAATATACATATACAATTCACCTTTCTCCCTAGCTTTTCCTCCTCTCTCTCGCCTCTCTCCTCTCTCTCCCGGTCTCGCTCGCGTCTCTCCTCCATATAACATATATCTACAAATTATAATTATCAAACTATAGCTATGGAAAGTAATTAATTATTTTTAAGTGGCTATATGTGAAAGTTTTCCAAAAAATATATATAGCAACTTCATGAGGTCGCAATTGTGATTTATTTAATTACTTTAAAAGCATATCAACCCTATGAGGTTGCTATATATCTCAAAATTTAATCTTAATCTCCTGAGGTCGATATTAATATTTTTTTAATTCTTTAATCAGTTAACCGATCTCATGAGCATGAGGTGAGTGAATCGATTTATATGAGGCGATTTATTTAGCCGAATGAAACGGAGTAAAATTACTAAAATTATGCTATATAAGATTAAGTAGTGTATTTTAATATGTTATAGTATTAAGTAGATTATTCTTTAAAGTTGAAGACATGTTCAGTCCAATGAATTTCAATCCCTTATCTCTCGGCTCGAAAAGGCACCAACGGTCGAGTTATTTAATCCACTTTTTATCCACAATTACTATAACTATTTTTAGGTGAATTATTATTTATATCATTTTTTTTTACATTATTTGTTTAGTATATGAAAATTAAACTAATTAATATTTAAAGGAGCCATACAATACTCGTGAGTTGTGATACATCACATAATTACTTTCAAATTATCATGTGATTCTGATGTTCCTTTGGTCCCATCTATCTCTTTTGATTTTCCTTTATTCCTACGTCAAATTGCTCTAATATAAAATCCTTTTACGAGCTACATTATTCTCTAGGATAATATCATCATCAAAGATGAGCGGGTGAACAGATACTTTTAAGGTAGATACGAAAAGAAAAATTATCATTCTATTTAAAATTAAATGTAGATATTTTTAATTTTGAAAACGTTTTCACTTATAAAGATACGTCATAAAAGCTTAACTCAATTCCAAACATTAGTTTATAAGTAAATAATTGGTCAAGTTCATATGAGTAAACCATTATTCCATTTTGTAATCAACGTGAGATTTCAAATCAACTCTAACATCTTTCATGTACAGACTCAAAACACAACTGAAACATGAATCGAAAGATGAATCTAATTCTAATACTATATAAAAATATGATATAATATCTAAATCAACTCTAAAAATAACTAGTTAATCTTACATAATTGGTAACACTTATATATACATGCCTTCTTTTACTACTTTTTGAGTTTTGTTTATAATAATGGTAGAATGATGATATTATTTTTTTTACTATATTATAAATAAAATAATAAAAGCTTCATGAAACTTGTACATCACGAACTGAGACTTATGTTCCACTCTATATTAAATATAATATTTTATTTTATGCCCTCGTCTTTTAAAACACCGATAATAATAATCACTCCTCCCTCCTCCATAATTATGTTGGCCTATTGGAGGATTGAAAACTACGCAATTTTGAATATTCAACTACACGTTATCCATCAGAATGATTTAACGTCATCGTTATTACATCATACATATGCACTAATTGACTTAATTGTGCATCTAATTATGGAATCCTTTAATGAAAGGGCACCTTAGGCTTTCTACAAAATTATAATCCATTTATTTTAATTTATTTATCTTATTTTCAATTTAACATAAAATATAAAAAAGAAATTAGTAATCTTAGACTAAACTCTATATATATATATATATATATATATATATATATATGTATGTGTATATATATATATATATATA